CAATTTTTTCTTATTTCAAGAATCTTACCAAGTAAAAATTTCTTACTCCGTTGGCAGAAACTTTTTACTTAAATTTGAGTCAAATTTTCAGACTAATACAAATAATCTGACACATTCTGAAAACAAGATTATTAATCTTACACAATCAGTTCTTGTTTAGTAAATCAGTCTCAAAATAAGATCAAAAAGACTTTTTGGCTGATATTAGATTTTAAAACTTGGTTAGATGGACATTTTTTGCAGTGACTGGGAAAACGTGCATCCTTTGCTCCTCTTTCATGATAAACTCAGTGTGACACATTTCCATTTTGCCAAACTTCAGGTCCGATAACTCGCAAAACTCTGAGGGGTTGCTGAAGAAGAGTCCCATAAAACAAATGAAAGTAATCAGTCGGTGCTTTGTTCTGATGTTTATCAGTAGCTGCAGCCAACCAACCAACCAACCAACCAACCAACCAACCAAGTGGAAACAGCCTTGTACCAGCAGCGCAGTGGGCAGCTGGGATGATTGCTGTGGGGTAGACTCCCTTCTAGAGAAGCCTTACAAGAAGATGCACGAGTCAAGTGCAAACTGTAAATTCAGGTTTTCAGTCAATAATGTACAGATCTATTCTTTTAAAGTGTACAGTCCCTCGGTTCCACCAGTTTCACAGCGTCACTCAGAGTGACGATGAGTTCGATGTGTGGTTGTGCTGCCTGGTTCAAAGGTCACCAGATCTTTTCCAGTCTTGATGTACGGCTTGAACTGAGAATATTTACATTGTGTAGATATGAATGTCTTGATGTCCCATCAGGTTAATTAAGTAATAAATTTTAATAAACCTGTAGAATGAGAATAAATGAAAACTGAACGTGTGTGGTGCTGTTATTTATCTGTAAATCACTGTTTTCTCTGCTTCAGCCTATGGATTTTCATATTCTTGTTCAAATTTGTTGAGTTGTTTTTAGAGGCGCTGATGAGAAGCCACACAACTCCCATAGGATAAAGTGTAAAGCTGTGAGCAGATCTAAAATAACCAGTGGTTGAACTGCTTCAGTCCTGTTGTCTAACTGCCTAACCTTACTGAGAGAACTGCATCTAGTGACCAGGATGAGCTGTTTACTCCCACTGCGATGATACAGAAACATTACTGCTCATTGCCCAAAGAAAGAGCAATAAGGTTTTTAAATGTGCATGTGCACTTGCTTGCAAAATATTTTATGAACCAATAGACTGAACTGAATAAAACTAAAGAATGTACATCTACTAACAGCAACAAATGGTGCCGCCGCAGCCGGACATCGAAGAACCTTGACATTGGAGTACACCTTTAATGTCTTTAAACGTTGTTCTGTGTTCTGTTGTTGCCATTTATAGTTTCCTTTCTTGACCAAATGCAGAGAAGTTGCTTTCAGTCCCGTAGAACTTAAACTTCTGAATAGTTATGGGAACATCAAGCTGATTATGATTATTCAGTCTTTACTTTTATATATCATCTTTTTTTTTCTACGCTTCTGAGACGACAATGTCAAAACAAACATTACAGGATGGTAATGTTTCACACAACTTATGCCATCTTAACACTAAAGATGTCTGTGTTAAAGATGGAAAAATGTACTGGAAGCCTCTTTTGGACATATAATTTGAATAAATATTTTATGATAAATTAATTAAAAAATACAATTTCCATAAGTCAGCATAAATGATTTCAAACATAACAGGACCTTTAACTTACTGTTTCGTGTGGTACACACCTACACAGTGTGTGCTTTTCATTCTTTAAACAGGAAGACTCATTACAGATTGAAAACAACTGTGATGCTAATTACAGGTCGTATCTTGATTCAACATATCCCTTAGTTGTGTATATA